CTTGCAGGTTTGCAGCCTCAGTTACTCCTCTGGGCAGAATGAGAGTGCTGAGAGCTCCCAGAGATCCCCTGGGAGCTGCAGTTTGTCCTTGCTCCATCTCTCAGCATGGGGAGGGATTTGTTTCAGCCCGTGTCAGTGTGGCACCCCCTGCCCGCTTGCAGCCCTCACCTCGGTGCTGCCCAGCTTTCCACAGCAGCTGAGCTGCTGCTGCTGCCTGGGTGGAGAGTCAGAGGCTAAAATTAGCAGGGAGCTCTTCTCTTGCCAAGTGCTGTGTCTGACCCAGCTGGGCCTGGCGGGGCAGAGAGGAAAAGGCTCTTAAATCTCTCCCCACAGAGCACCCTGCGTGCCTGCTGCCTTCTGGGGGGGTTCCCTGCCAGGGGTGGGGATGCCTTGGGAGGATGCTGGAGCAGTTGGGAGGGCAGGGTATTGCCAGGACAGTCCTGGGACACGGTAGGAAATCCTGATTCTCTGAACTCTGTTTCCTTCTTGTTCTCCTTTTGAATATCATATAAACAGCTGGGGAGGCCAGCTCTTGCTCCTGGGCACTTCTCAGAGCTTCAGGCGTATCCTCGCTTGTGGAAAGGTTTTCTGGGCAAATGAGGGGTTTGGCTGCCCTAGGAAAATTAGTGCCTATTCACCACTGCCACCCTGCCAGAACAAGCTGCTGGAGATTTCAGTGTCCTCAGGAGCTGCCCACCCTAAATGAGAGCTTGTTTGTTCTGTATTACAGGGTGGCCTGCAGGAGTGGCGGTGGCCTGGTGGTTACAGCACACGTTTGGGTGAACAGGGGTGTAGGCCAGCCTTGTCTCTGCTGGACAGGCTTTGGAACAAGCTGCTTCGACCTCCCATGCCTCAATTAGGTTCTGTGTCAAAGGTGTCAGTGACAATTGTTATTTATTCTTTTAAAATACTTAATGTTCATGAATGAAAAAGCATTCCCTGGGCTCCAAATGCCTTCACTGCAAGGGGAGAGCTTGTTTCATTATTCTCCGGGGCCCAGCCTACCCTGCTGGAGCAACCCTGCTGGTTTGGCTTCCCCAGGCATGCTGCCACCCTGTCTTTTGTGAACCAACTCTGCTATTGTGTGTAAAGCAGGGGCAGGAACTTGTCTGGGCCCCCAGAACACAGATCTCATCTCTGACCTTTCCCATTCATTGCACTTGCCTGAACTGCACAGCCTGGGGCAAAAAAAAGGGGTGGAAGAATGCAGCTGAGGTGAGGACTTGGCGATTAAACCCTGTTCCTTTTTCCAAGGCCCTGGGGTAGAGCTGTCTGCAGCATGTGCCAGGGCAGCACAGTGGCAAAGTGTGACCATTGCAGGGAGAGCTACCGAGGGGGACAGCTCTGGAGGAGGCAGCCTGAGGGACACCATGGGGGTGGTGGAGCAAAATGCAGCCTAAAAATGGTCAGAGTAAATGTTAACATGGATTGCATTGGGATTTGGGTTTTATCTGCAATGGGTGGTGGGTACTGCTCCTGGGGAAAGCTGAGCCAGCTACAGAAAGAAGAAAAGAAAGGAGGAAGGCATGCTCACAGTATGTCTGATGACTGTACCTGCTGAGAGGGATGTGAAACTCCCCTTTTCCTGCAAATAGCAGAGAAAGGGGAGCAGCTGGGATAGCTGCAGTAGCTGTCTTCTGCATTTGGCCAGCCAACTTGGAAAGTGGCCTCTCTGTATCTGGAATTGTGTACACATTATGTGTGCCAGCCCTCTGCTAGGTCTCCATTGCTTTAGATGGACAGGGAAGAGAGAGCTCCAGGAACTGGAGGGGATGGGGTATGACAGGGTCCACCCTTGCTCCTGTCTCAGCTCTAGGCTCGGGTGCCTCCCTCAGTGGTTTCATGCTGGTGAAGTAAAGGAAACAAAATTGTCAGGTGAGTCTCTGGCTTCGCTTTCCTTTTCCCTGCTGGAGGTGGAGTGAGGACTGTCTGTGTGAAGGACATCAGGGTATTTTTAGCATGGGTGAAGAAAGGCAGAGTATAAAATATATGGGCAAACATGCCTCCTGCAGCTGCAGGAGGACCTGCTCAGGGCTACTGTTTTTGCTGGAATGGATGTATTTGCATGAAACCCAGCAAGGTGAAGAAAGCACCACTTTGTTTCACCAGAGGCTGGGGAAGAAGGTGGCTGTGTCTTGTTCTTCCCCCCTCACACAGATCTGGCAAGTCCTAGTAGAGGATTTTTTCCTGGTGCTGGCACCCCACGCTCCTGGGCAGCTCCTAGCTCTGTGTGCTGGCAGTGGGAGTGCAGGAGGGCTGGGGATGGAGCAATGCTCTGGGCCAGGGGCTTAAGGCATTTGTGTCAAGTCAGCTTGCAATCCTGAGGAGTGTCTTTTGTGAACCAACTCTGCTATTGTGTGTAAAGCAGGGGCAGGAACTTGTCTGGGCCCCCAGAACACAGATCTCATCTCTGACCTTTCCCATTCATTGCACTTGCCTGAACTGCACAGCCTGGGGCAAAAAAAAGGGGTGGAAGAATGCAGCTGAGGTGAGGACTTGGCGATTAAACCCTATTCCTTTTTCCAAGGCCCTGGGGTAGAGCTGTCTGCAGCATGTGCCAGGGCAGCACAGTGGCAAAGTGTGACCATTGCAGGGAGAGCTACCGAGGGGGACAGCTCTGGAGGAGGCAGCCTGAGGGACACCATGGGGGTGGTGGAGCAAAATGCAGCCTAAAAATGGTCAGAGTAAATGTTAACATGGATTGCATTGGGATTTGGGTTTTATCTGCAATGGGTGGTGGGTACTGCTCCTGGGGAAAGCTGAGCCAGCTACAGAAAGAAGAAAAGAAAGGAGGAAGGTGAAGTAAAGGAAACAAAATTGTCAGGTGAGTCTCTGGCTTCGCTTTCCTTTTCCCTGCTGGAGGTGGAGTGAGGACTGTCTGTGTGAAGGACATCAGGGTATTTTTAGCATGGGTGAAGAAAGGCAGAGTATAAAATATATGGGCAAACATGCCTCCTGCAGCTGCAGGAGGACCTGCTCAGGGCTACTGTTTTTGCTGGAATGGATGTATTTGCATGAAACCCAGCAAGGTGAAGAAAGCACCACTTTGTTTCACCAGAGGCTAGGGAAGAAGGTGGCTGTGTCTTGTTCTCCCCCCCTCACACAAATCTGGCAAGTTCTAGTAGAGGATTTTTTCCTGGTGCTGGCACCCCACCCTCCTGGCAGCTCCTGGCTCTGTGTGCTGGCAGTGGGAGTGCAGGAGGGCTGGGGATGGAGCAATGCTCTGGGCCAGGGGCTTAAGGCATTTGTGTCAAGTCAGCTCGCAAGCCTGCCCGAGGAGGATGCACTTGCCTTTTCCTAGATGAGTCCTGTTTTGGGATGGCAAAGTGGCTTTTTCCTGCACTTGCTGGGAACAGTGAGAGTGATCTCCTTGCCCTTTGTGATCATCATTTACTGAGAAGTGGATAAAGTGCTTCTCCATGTTCCCTTCCCTTTGCTGAACTCTGTTTTGATGCTGAGTGCTGGCAAAAATACAAATTTCTAACCAGACAGCCACTTGAAATGGCCTGCTTTTGCTGTCTGAGGCTGTCCAGGAGGAGCCTGTGTTCCAGCTGCAGTGCTGGCCTCCCCTGTCTGTGCCTGCAGAGTTGCTGGGAAGATGCTAGGTGACATCAAGTGCTTTAGGCAGTGTGCCTAAACTGTGGGGGCTCCCCCTCTGCCCTGGAGAAAGAATTGAGAAGGGTCTGGTGCTTCCCTGAAGCTGGAACAGCACGCATTGCCAGCACTTGGGCAAATGAAGGAGGGCTGGAGTATGATCTGGAGGGTGCCCCTGTGTCCCTGTGCTAAATTCAGCTCTTCAGCCAGTTTGTTTAAAATTCACCCTTGCAATATTTTGCTGCCTCCCCTCTGGAGAGCTGGGCATTTACAAGGTCTGCAGAGATCTCTGCACAAAGTCAAGCTGCTGAAATTCACAGAGGTGCCTTTTTTGGGTTCAGCAGGTCCCAAGACTGTTTACAATTCTTGTCTCAGACCCTGAAACAGGAGTGGTTCAAGTGGGTGACCTGCTACTCTCTTTCCCTATATCCCCTGGTGTTAGATCAGGGTGTATTTCTCTAATTGTTGAGTGAAATTAAAAGGCAGCTGAAGGCTTTAGTCACTGGAAGGCTTTTTTTGGGAGAGTGGAGCTTCGTGCATTGTTTGGCTGAGGGTAGAAGCCCCCAGAAGGAGGACAGCTCAGGTGTTTGATACTGGGCTGGTTCTCAAATCAGGCTTGATGGGGGGAAATCTCCCAGAGCAAGCCCATACAAGTGAAAAAAAGAAAAGAGAGAATGAGAGAAAGTGGTGACAGTGGGGAGTAAAGCATTTGAGCCAGCATTGTGCTTGTAGCAAACACTCAGGACAGCCCCTGTCCAGCCCTGGCCACCTTGGCAGACCAAGGTAGAGGCATGAGGCTTTAGTGATTTTCCTCATGAATGTGGTAGATCCATTAGTGCAGATGGAGGCACATAAGTTATCATTTTTCTTTAATGCTTTCAGATTTTACCAGCTATGTCTCCTGTGAGTGCTTGGGATTTGTCATTTCACTATGTGGCTTAAATGAAACTGTACAGTTCCCTGTGTGCATTTCTTTGTAATAATCCAGATTAAAAAAAAATTACTATTATTATTTCAAGTAGAAGTGATGGTACTGTCTGGCTCTATAGCTTTGTAAAGAAATAAGCATAGTTTTATTCCCTGCAGGTGTGTGCATGCTGCTGTCTCCCACATAAAACTGTCCCAGGGAACCAGTGTACATTTGTAGGCACATCACAGTATCTCAAATTCTAAAGACATGTTCTACATGTAGAGGGTCTCTGTGTGATCTAAGCACTACAAAATCAGCCCAGAGTCCAGAAACTAGCAGTTGAATCTCCCAAGAAAACAAAGGCCTAACCTAATTTTGCATTGTGTGCCAAGTAGCCTCATGATAGCACCTTTTAAGTGTCCTGTGCTCCTAAGGCACCTGTGTTCCTTCTGTTTGCTGAGCCTATCTAATCAAACCTGTTTGTTCCAGGTTAAGAACTATTATTTCCCATCAGAAGAATTGCAGCACCTGTACTTCACTTTGTGTTGCTTCAGGAGGCCAGGGAATTTGATGCTGAGCTCCATTGCTGTGGCAATTTTACGTGCACTTCATTACCCTGGGTGGCCTGTGTGGGGCTGGTCTGTAATGAACATCCAGTTGCAGCTCCTGCCTCTCTGCTCTGAACCAGAGGAGGCCACCGTGCGAAGTGGAGATGAGGTGAGGGTTTTGGCAGCTCAGCAGTGTGCTGCTGCTCTTAACTTGCTGACAGTGTTTGGTGAATTGTGTTGTAGACCAGAGGGACGTCTTCAATGCCAGCTTTACTGTTCTGCATAAAAGCCTTGCAGGCTGCAGTGGTTTCCTTTGGGTGGAGCCAGGGTGTGGGAGGCTTCATTACACCCTGCCCTGATGTTTTAACATTACAGTTAATGTTGAGATACAGCCTGGGATTCATGGGATTAGTCTTAGATTTGAAAACATTGTGAGTGATGTCTTGTGCATTTGATGTCCACCAGAGCAGAAAGTGCTTTCAGGCACTTTCTCTTCAGTGCTGGTCCTTGCTGATGTAGGGTTTCTCTTGTTGCCTTCCCTCATGCATGGTGGTAGCCAGGGATCCTCTCTGTGGGGTACTTATGCAGTGAGGGCACCACAGGTGGGAGACTTCAGGGAACAGTCCATGTCTATTACATGCTGCTGTCTCCCACGTAACGCTGTCCCAAGGAACCATTGTGCGTTTGTAGGCACATCACAGGTGTGTGCTGCAATTCCTGTACCAGGGGAAGTCAGCAGCACCTGGATAACCCCAGCCTGTGCCTCAATGATTGCAGCACTTGCTCATTCCTTTGTTGTTTGTTGCATCAGTTTTCCCTTCCTCCCTCCTTCCACACCCAGAGCCCTGCATCCTGCATTGCTCTGCTCCTCCCTGCAAAACATCTCTCATCCTGCCAAAGGCATCCCTTCATCTCTGAGGCTGTCCACCCACCTCATCTCCCAGCTTCACGTTCTTCCCTGTGCTCTCTGGGTGTTTGGATGTGCTCCCCACACGTTCACTCCCCTTCACACATACCTGTCCACCCCAGCATGCAAGTGCCTGCTTGTTGCTGACCTCGCCTACTTAGTGCTGCTTCTCTGTGTTCCCCTGAATGTTTTCCTGACCATGAAAGCCTTGCTGTCTCCTGCCAAACTCCTGGGACTGCACAGCTTGCAGTATGTTACAGTCCTTTTGCCTTCTGGGATCCTTTAAGGTGAAGAACAACGTTGATGCATTCAAGAGGTCAGATCCTGAAATAAATATTACATGGCCATTGCAACTTTCCTTTCTAGGGTTGCAGCCATGCATTTACATTTCAAATTCTTCCACTATCCCACACCACTTCCTCACCTGGAGGGGTGGCACTGTGTGTAACAGGAGGGTTACAATGTACAGTGCTCACAGTTGGCAGTGGCATAACTCAGAGCCTCTGGGTAAGAATAGAGGAGCAAACAAATAATGCAGATGTCATTGTGGGAGGCTACTACAGACCTCCCAGCCAGGACAATGACACTGACAAATTATTCTTTGAGGAGTTAAGGGAGCACTTCCAGGTCAACTGTCCTGGTCCTTTTGGGGAACTTCAACTTGCCAGGAGTTAACTGGGGGCATCACACAGGTGGAACAACCTGGATGCAACTAGAAGATCCAGAAAAACTGGATGACAACTTTCTGGAACGGGTCCTAAGGGAGCCAACTCAGAAGGATGCCCTCTTTGATCTGCTGCTTGTCTACAGAGAAGGTCTCATTGCTGAAGTGGAGATTGGTGGTCATCTTTGCCACAGTGACCACCAAGTGATCTCTGTTGACAGGAGGAAACGTGCCAGCAAAACCTCAGCTCTGGACATGAGGAGAGTGGATGAGAGTCCACATGACTTGGACACAGGGCTGGAAGGGATGCTAAGTAAGTTTTCAGGCTATACAAAACTGTGAGGAGCTGCTGACTCCCTTGATGGCAGGAAGGCCCTGCAGAGAGACCTTAACATATAAGAGGGCTGAGCAATACCCAACCATATGAAGTTCAGCAAGGGAAGTGACAGATTCTGCACCTGGTGTGGAGCAACCCTGGATATACAGACAGACTGGGGAATGAGCCCATGGAAACAGATCTCGGGGTCCAGGTTGATGGAAAATGAACATGAGAGTGCAGTGCCCTGGCAGCCAGGAGGGATCTCTGTATCCAGGGAGCATCAGGCACAGCGTCGCTGGCTGGGCAAGGGAGGGGATTGTCCTCTGCCCTGGGGCAGCCTCACCTTGAATATTGTGTTTGGGGCACTTTGGGGTGCCACCCTGTTAAAAAGACACTGGGCCGTTAGAGAGTGTCCAGTGGAGGGCAACAGAGGTGGTAAAGGGCCTTGAGGGCAAGTTGTATGAGGAGAGGCTGAGTTCTGTTCAGCCTGGAGAAGAGGAGAATGAGGGGGGACCTCATTGCAGGCTACAATTTACTCATGAAGGGAAGATGAGGGGCAGACACTGATCTCTTCTGAGCGGTGACCAGGGAGGGGACCTGAGGAGGTGACCTGAAGTTGTGTCAGGGGAGGCTTAGTTTGGATGTAAGAAAAGGTTTTTAACCCAGAGGGTGGTTGCAGCACCAAGCCTGACAGAGCTCAAACATTTGGACAACAGTCTTGGACACCTGATGGGACTCTTGGGGATGGTGCTGAGCAGGGCCAGGGGTTGGACTCAATGAGCCTTGTGTGTCCCTTTCAACACAGAATACTCTGATTCTGTAATCTCAGGAGGCAGAGATCTTAAAGAGCTGTCGCTTGTAGCTTACTAAGATGAAAAGAATGTTGCTGAAAAAGTCTAAAATTCCAAGAAATTATTCTTAGCTGGGGAGTCTTGCTTGTGCTTCCATTAGCCAAGATAACAGATATCAGTAGTAGTTGTCTGATCACTGCAGGACCTTCTTAGAGGTTAACAGGGCACAGCAGCACCAAGACAAGTCTGTAGGGATCTTAAGATTTCAGCCCTGTCAGAAATTCTCCACATTTTTTGATGTAAAACTTCACAACCAAATTTGGTTCTGTTGATGCACTGAGAGGGCCAGGTCTGCTCTGTCCACATCTGAAGGGAACTGGTGCAGAGCGTCTCCTTGACAACCTGCCTGCTCTGTGGCATTTGGATTTCCCATCCTGGCAGAGCCCATCAGTGCCTGACTCTGCAGCTGCCCTGCAGGAAGGCTTTGATGTGGGGGTCTGTGCAGGGAGTTGGTGTCAGTCACTGCCTGCTGCCTCTCTGCTTGCCAGGAAAGGCTCTCCTAGCTCCTAACAACAGGGTGCCACTGTGAGCCTTTCTCTCTTCTCTAGCTCATGGCCCTGCTCTTCACCACCTGAAAAATTTGGGATATTGAGTATAAAAAGAAGGAAGGGTGCTTGTGAATAGATCAAAATGCATGATGTCAAAGCCCCTCTGCCTTTCATTGTGGTGCTGGAGATGTTGCAGAGAGGAGGCTGACTGGTCGTGGCCAAAGGAACTGGATGTGAAGTGGGTGACACTGGCTGAGAGTGGGTGGAAATGTAGAAATTAAGAGGTGAATCCAGACCCCAGGCATCCTTCTTGCTCAGCGTGGGTTGCTGCTGGTCTCTGGGGACCAGCTGCACATGGAGTTGAGTACAGCTGTCACAGGTAACAGTCACATGGACAGTGCCACGACCTAGGCCACTTCCTCCAGACCATGTGCACACAGTTGTTTTTATCCATCTGTTTAATGCAAGGGCAGACTGGCTCTGTCAGGCCATCTGGGCTTCTTGGCAACTTTAGAAACCTCCTTGTGCAGCTGGTGGCAGTAACTCTGTGGTTCCCCAGCACACACCATTACCTGTGCCACAGCACTGCTGGGCAAAGGTCTGCAGGGACTCAGGTACCAGCTCTGTGCACTTTGCTTGGGGATCTGGCAATGCTGGAGGAGCAAACTGTTAAACAAGAGGGATTTGGCTAAACTCTGGTATGAAAAAGAGCTGCAGCTGGGTGCAGCTGTTAGCACACACCATCAAACCAGGAGAAGACTTTTGTCTACCCTGCAGGCCTGGTAGGGGAATTTCAGTGCTGGCTACTTTGAATGAGTGACCCCTGGAACAGTTGCAAAGGGACCAGGAGATGGAGAGGCCAGGGATCAGTGGGAAATAGCCAGAGCCTGAGCTAGGATTAGGTTTCAGATAAGCATCTGAGGAAACAGCTGCAGTGGTCAGGACTAGGGGGTGATGGAAAGGACTAGGTTTGGAGCAGCTGGGTGGGGGCAGGCAGAGGCAGTAGGACAACACCATGGCCCATGGATGAACTACCATGGTGATGTGTGAAGACAACACTGGAGTGCCTCCAAGGTGTCCCTGCAGTGGTGGCATTGGCAGCATTGTGGGCTGAAAGGACACAGAGGTGCAGGGAGCTGCTCATGGGTTCTGTAAGGCTGTGGGCCAAGCACAGCTCCAGGTTGATGGAAATTGGATGAAGATTTTGATGGAAATTGCAGGAATTTGAGCAGGAGGGCCTGCAGAGAGACCCTCAGGCACCTAGCATGGAACTGAACCCAGCAGGAGTAATATCCATTGGCTGCATCCAGCTTCGTCTGCTTGCTCCATAGGAATCCTCCAGTCCTTTGCGTTGCTGATGAAATCTCTGGGTTTCCCCAGGGATTTGCTTTAGGCAAGCCAGTCTCACCTCAAATATCCCTGTGGGAGGGGAGCAGAGGATGCCACAACAGGGTTCTAACTACAGGACTTGGTGGCTTAGGGGCACCTGGGTTTGCCTGGAGCTTCTCCCATGGCCATTTACTGGTCAGCCCTTGCAGGAGTGTAAAAGAAGGTCAGAACTTCCCTTCAGGTCTCCAACACTGTTCTCAAAACTTTGCTGCTCTGGGGAGTTACTCCAGATTTACCACAGCATTTTTGAACTCAAAGGCAGGCTATAAGGACCTAGTTAAAGTAAGGCTGTATGAGATTTGAGGTGGTCAAACCAATACATCCTTCATCTGCATGGATCCCTCTTAGTTACTGGAGTTGTTTGGAAAGGCCACAGTGAAACTGGACACCTTACACCTGAAACTGAAAAATACAAGGAAACCTCTTTCAAATATGGTCACACAGGCACCGTTCAGGAGGAAAAGTGAGCCAGGAGTCACTCACTGGTGTGTGACTTGTAAAAAATTGGCTGTGCAACAAAGCTGTCTGCCTTGCTTGCTGCAGCTCATCAA